AGACATAAATTCATAAATAGGAGTTTGTTAAGAACTCAGGATTAAGATCATCCTATATATGACCATCGGTAGACTCAATTAGAATTTCTATACTTAACGAAAATTATTAGAAATTCATATTGTGTCTGTCCTTGTTCCACATAATCTTATTATGCGAAATACATTCATTTAATATCTCGCCATATTAACAGTGCGGATAATACCGTTTCATTCTAAATGAGAATAACATGTATTAATAATGTTTTAATTAAAGATTCTGAACTTTAATTAAATTCATCATGAACAATGTTTTTAATTATTATCCTTAAATATTATCCTCTCGTATATAACACTTATATACTATGTTTAAGGTTACATAAACAATCACGGAATTTTCATTTGATATTCATAAAATATTCATAAATATATGCACATAAAATGATGAATAAACTCTTTTATTAATTAAATAATAAATATCCTATTACATCTCATGCTTCTAGGACACTATTCCCAACAATTTCCCACTTGTCCTAAAGTAGGTGTGTCATGTCTCTAATCCCAAATCCATCTAAGTGCTAATCAAATACATTTAATGGCAATGTCTTGGTGAACGGGTCAGCAAGGTTGTCCTCTGACGCGATCTTCAGAACCGCTACATCTCCTCTATCCACAATATCGAACTTCCTGAGCCATGTAGCTTCTTTTGCAGCTTCAGAAGCTGCAACATATTCAGCTTCCATGGTAGAGTCAGCAACACACTTTTGCTTTATACTTCTCCATACCACGGCTCCTCCATTAAGAGTGAACGTAGATCCAGATGTCGACCGTTGACTATCTTTATCCGATTGGAAATCAGAATCTGTATATCCGGTGAGTGACAGATCTTCTCCGGAATATATCAACATATAGTTTCTCGTTCTCCTAAGATACTTGAGAATACACTTTACTGCAACCCACTGATCTAATCCTGGGTTGGACTGGTAGCGACTGACCACTCCCACTGCATAGCAGATATCTGGTCTTGTACACAACATGGCATACATAAGGCTTCCCACAACCGAAGCGTAGGGATATCGTCTCATATCTTCTTCCTGTTGTGGAGTCTTTGGACATTGTTCTTTAGAAAGATAAATACCATGCCTAGAAGGCAAATTCCCTTTCTTGGAATTCTGCATCGAATACCTAGACAACACTTTGTCTATATAAGATGCTTGTGACAACGCCAAAAGCTTTTTCTTGCGATCTCGAATAATCTTGATCCCAAGAACATAGCTTGTCTCTCTCAAATCTTTCATTTGGAATTGGTTGGCTAACCACTCCTTTACATATGTCATCAATCCCACATCATTCCCAAGGAGTAGGATGTCATCGACGTAAAGAATTAAGAAGATCACTTTCTCTTCTTTCTTGTACTTGTAGACGCATGGTTCATCAATGTTTTGATCAAATCCATAAGACTTTATAGCCTTATCAAACCTGATGTTCCATGATCTAGAAGACTACTTCAGTCCATAAATGGACCTCTGCAGTTTGCAGACTTTTTGCTTTTGGCCTTCCTCTATGTAACCCTCTGGCTGTTCCATATAGATGGTTTCTTCAAGATAGTCATTCAAAAAACCTGTATTGACACCCATCTGCCATATCTCATAGTCAAAATATGCTGCAATGGCCAGGAGTATCCGGATGGACTTAAGCATAGCTACTGGCGAGAAAGTTTCCTCATAGTCAACTCCCTCCTTTTGGGTATAACCCTTAGCCACTAGGCTTGCTTTATAAGTCTCTACTTTTCCATCCACTCATCTCTTGCTCTTGTAGATCCACTTGCATCCAATGGGTTTTACCCCTTCGGGTAGATCTACAAGTTGCCAGACCGAGTTAGAGTACATAGACTCCATCTCGAGTTTCATAGCTGCTTGCAATTCTTCTTTATCAGAATCATCTATTGCATCCTTAAAGATCGATGGATCGTTCTTACCGTCATCAGCAGTGACGATTTGGGCTTCCCCGGTATACTGGTCGGGTAACATGCTTACCCTCCCACTACGACGAGGTGCCTTAGGAGTCTGATTAGGAACTGTGGTCTTTTCTCTGAGTGGTTCGACAACTCTTGTCGGTTGTGGACTGATCTCATCGCAAAGTACTCTCATCGAAAAGTAACTCTTCCAATACTATTTTACTTCTGGGCTTAAAATCTATCATATAGTCATGCTCCAGAAATGTGGCATTTGTCGATACAAACACCTTTTGATCTTCAGGACTATAAAAGAAATCTCCCTTTGTCCCATCGGGATATCCTACAAACATACACACTTCTGACTTGGGTTCCAACTTCTCAGTCTTTCCTTTCAGTACATGTGCTGGACACCCCCATATGCGCACGTGTCTCAAACTAGGTTTTTGACCGCACCACAACTCTAAGGGTGTTTTAGGAATAGACTTAGATGGTACCCTATTCAGAATGTAGGCAGCCGTTCTTAGGGCATAATCCCAGAACGAAGTATGCAGTGAAGAATAACTCAACATTGATCTTATTATGTCGAGTAAAGTCTGATTTCTCCTTTCGGCTATACCATTCTGCTGTGGTGTACCGGGTGTAGTCAATTGGGATACTACACCTTCTTCAATCAAGAAATCTCGAAACTCTTGGTCTAGGTATTCTCCCCATCGATCTGATCGAAGTGTCTTGATTGGTTTACCTAATTGTTTTTCAACTTCGGCTCATAATTCTCTAAACTTTCCAAAAGTTTCAGATTT